TTATCATGACTTCCACACAAATTTAAAATAGGATATAATTATGAAGTGATGGTATTTTTTTACAGATGTGAATGTAAGTTGCATCATGACGGGTTGGTTTAGGCCTGAATCTGCAAGCGTAATTCTAGTGTTATTATTGTTGATTCTGTGATTGTCTCGTATGTTCACGAATTTCCCAACACTTTTCATTGTTTTTTTTAAGCTTTTAAATTATTTACAACAATGTTGATCAACAAATTCATTCTTTGATTCATTTTTCAAGCACAAATTAAATGAAATCAGTGCTACATGTTCTCTAAGTCCAGCTTCTCGTAAGGCACAATTCGCTGCTTCTCTTTGTCATATTTAAATACAGTACAAGTTTGTATTCCTTTGGGGTTTCGATTTCTGATCAGACAAAACAATACATTTGATGACGTCACTTTGGACTAAACCCAGTTTATCTCCCCGTGTTCTGCTCATACATCAAATAATTGTTTTTTCTTGCAACAGGAGAGCATGCAGTTTAGGGAAGATACTTTACTTTCAAGTCACACACACACTTCCACTATGCGTTTTCCCAATACAACATTAAAGCCAGTGCTCTGGGATGTCTCAGCTGAGACCATTGGCAGGATGTGACATGTGGCTACCAAACAGCCTCACTTCCTTCCATTTCCTGCCCGGTTAAATACCTCTCCTCGTAATTTTAAACAGATGGGAATGCCTGCTGTCTGCAGTGTAGTGACTGGGCCTGTGAAATCCTCCTTTAATAAGTGGGCACAGTATGCCAGTACACTCCCTTTCCCAGCCTTACCAGACTTCTAATAACAGTCTCAGTGGCTTTTTGGGATTTCCAGCGTATAAGCCCTCTGTGAAGAACGGTCTACGCATCTGTGATTTGTGATAACATCGCCAATGTCTCTGCCTATTGCTTCTCTCATTATGAGCCACTGTAGAAAGTTGTGAGAGAGAGTCTGTTCTGGTTCAAGTGTCAGTCTTGGATTGGTGTACAACATCTGAGCTGTAAGAGTCCAAATGTTTAGAGACAGACTGCACACACTGTGACATTGGATTCACTTAATATGCAGATCATGTGGGAGGAAACAGCATCGGACACCAATTCAATGCTTTCATATTCTTATTTTGTTTTTTTTACAGACAAAAAAGGCAAATTACAGTAATATTGTATTTTGTTATAATTAGGAAAACGTTATGGTCCGGTCCTTTGATTCATGAGCAACACTAAACCTGGTAGGATTAGTGGGATTATTTCAGCAAAGTAGTGTTTTAAAGAGGTTAATAAAATGGTCAATGCAACATGGCATGATATGGCTATTTTACATTTAAACATATGTTTAAGCATCCATTTTAAGATGGGGATTTTCCAAATAGTAAAAAGAAACATGTATGTTTCAAGCACATTTGAATAAAAAGCTGCTGTCTAATATCACATTTACAGTAAATCAAGTTGTTTTGGCATTAAGTCTGTTATATTTCCTTTATATTTAAGATAAGGCTTTGCTGGTATACTACAGTATGATGTAATCTTGTCACTGTTTTAAGTAATGCAACTTACTCCGAAATACTGAACTGAATTTATATCCTGTTAGTTACATAGATGATCCAATGTGATGACGGCATTTTTGTGTGTCATTTTCATAGTGAAGAGCGCATCAGCCTCTTACCAGTTTCCAGTAAAGATAAGATATTGCAAATATAATTTAGCTTGAACAGAGAATTGCAGTTTGATTCGATGACCTAATGCAAGGGAACTACTGGAGGCTGGCATGCTGACTCTTTCTTTCACCAGGGGCCTGGTAATTAGATAAAGAGTGATGCAATGCTTTTGCAGCAGCGTGACTCTGCTCAGCATCTACGTAGGAAATGATAAATGAAAATGATTGAAAATATGTCTTCAGCCATACTCTGGTCATAAATGCAAGATGTTGTTGTTCAGATATGAGGTAAAGGAACAGCAATTAATATCATGATTTTATTGTAGGCCACTTATTGACTCATCTTTTCTTCACTTTCTACTGGGGTTTTATTATAAAAAAAAGTAAGGTGCTTTTTAAGGCTGACAAGAAACCGCAGATGCAAAAGTTGAAGAGGACACACCTCAGGAAACATATAGTGTAGTTTTTCTCTATTATGAGTAACCAGACCCGCTGGTAAAGAACTTAGTGGATTGTGAGCTGACCTGAGATTTCAGACTAGAAGATGCTATTGGCGCTAACAAGCACTCTCACTAATGGAGCCATTTCCTTTACCCTACTCTCCCCCCCTAGTCTTCCTCTGAGTCTTTCAGGGTACAAGTGCATGAGTTTGCTTCGCAAGCCATGGTAAAAAAAAAACAGGTTTCATGTTCCTCGACCACTAAACTTAAAAATATTCCTACTTAGAGTTCAGACACAGTAGGACACTGGAGTGATACAAATGGAGACATGGACTGGCACAGTTAAGAGCTCTTTATTCATTTGAAAGCAATCAATCAAATATTCCTTTAACAATATATATACACTTAAATATACGTGAAATCTGACTTTATCCTTCATAGGACATTGTTGGCCGATCTTTGCCCCCTTGATTGTGTGTGTGATTGAGAAATTACCTGAATTTTGGAGCAGTTTTTTCCATTGCTCACGATTATTTCTGATGCAGAGTATAATCTGACTTGTATTCACATTTTAAAAAGAAGCATCAGAATACTGATTTCATGCTATCAACTTCATGAACAAATTGTTCTCTTTTATTGGCAGATGGCAGTTGCAATAAAATGTGTTAATTTGTGATATTTCTTTCCTCGTTTGAAACTGACAAATGGTTTATTAAATGTCTGCATAGTTGTTGGAATCCGTAAAAGTTAAAGTAGCAGGATTAAGTTGGCCTTGTTGCAACATAATCCTTGATATAATTGTTTAAAAAAAGCTCTTCAGTATTTTGTTTTGCAGTTGCACTTAGATAAGATAAAATGATGGGATGAGGTAATTTGTTGGGTAGGATTATTCTTTGTCATCAAGAGTCTGTTATTTATTTAACTAGATTTCGTCCAAACCACAGCACTGAGAGTGCTCTTGTAAAGGTCTTTAATGACATCCACTTGAACACAGACAGTGGCAGAACTTCAGTGTTAGTATTATTAGATCTCAGTGCTGCGTTTGACACTGTTGACCACAACATATTACTAGACCGACTGGAAAACCGGGTGGGACTTTCATCAACAGTTCTACATTGGTTTGAATCCTACTTAAAGGACAGAAACAACTTTGTTTCTATAGGTAAATACACATCTGAGTTGACAAAAATGACATGAGTCTGTTCTGGTTCAAGCGTCAGTCTTGGATTGGTGTACAACAGGGGTGCCCACACTTTTTCAGCTTGGGAGCTACTTTTAAAATGACCACGCCCAAATGATCTACTTACAGGGCCAAACCACAGTACTGAGACTGCTCACAACATATTACTAGACCGACTGGAAAACCGGGTGGGACTTTCATCAACAGTTCTAAATTGGTTTGAATCCTACTTAAAGGACAGAAACAACTTTGTTTCTATAGGTAAATAAATACACATCTGAGTTGACAAATATGACATGTGGGGTACCTCAAGGCTCCATCTTGGGGCCACTTCTCTTTAATGTCTACATGCTACCACTGGCTCAGATAATGAAAAACAACAAAATAAGTTACCATAGTTATGCGGATGACACACAAATGTACATAACCATTTCACCAGGAGACTATTCTCCAGTTAAAACACTGAGTAAGTGTCAGAACTTTCTCCAATTAAACAAAGACAAAACTGAGGTAATGGTTTTTGGAGCCAAGGCAGAACGTATAAAAGTTTGCGCTGAGCTTCAGTCTGCAATGTTCAAAACAACAGATAAAGCCAGAAATCTAGGTGTAGTAATGGACTCTGACCTGAGTTTCAACAGTCACATTAAAACAGTTACTAAATCAGCCTACTATCACCTAAAGAATATATCTAGGATTAAAAGACTAATGTCACAGCAGGATTTGGAAAAACTTGTCCATGCTTTTATCTTCAGTTGACTCGACTACTGTAATGGTGTCTTTACAGGTCTCACTAAAAAATCTATTAGAAAGCTGTAGCTAATTCAGAACGCCGCTGCTCGAGTCCTCACTAACACTAAGAAAGTGGATCACATCACTCCTGTTCTGAAGTCTCTACACTGGCTTCCTGTGTGTCAAAGAATATATTTCAAAATACTGCTGCTGGTTTATAAAGCACTGAATGGTTTAGGCCCAAAATACATTTCTGATCTTCTGCTAAATTATGAAATATCCAGATCTCTCAGGTCTTCTGGGACTGGTCAGCTTTCTGTCCCCAGAGTCAGAACTAAACATGGTAAAGCAGCGTTCAGTTATTATGCTCCAAATATCTGGAACAAACTCCCAGAAACCTGCAGGTCTGCTGCAACTCTGACTACTTTTAAATCCAGGCTGAAGACTTTTCTTTTTGTCGCTGCTTTTAATTGAAACTGAGCGGTTGTGTTTCGTTTTTGGTTAATGCACATTTGGGGCTAGTAACCCAAGGGAATCAGTGTCTGGGGACTCTGTCCTGGCTGGTTTTCTCTGTGTATGCTGCTCGGGACGTATGTGCCATACAAGCGTACACAGCTCATGTTCGGAGAAACCTTAAAGAAAGGCATCAGTAAAATGGAACTTCTGTGTGAACTGTGTGAACTGCACTGTATCTTTGTATTCATGTACTTTTTATTCATGTACTTTTTATTAATGTATTTTTTCTTTTAATGTTTCTTTTATTATCTTTTCTTTTTAATGACTGTTTTTAAATGCCTTTGTCTGAATGTCTTTCATTTTTGTAAAGCACCTTGAATTGCCTTGTGTTGAAAGGTGCTATATAAATTGCCTTGCCTTGCCTTGCCTAGATTAAGTCCTATGTGTCAATGTGACCCTTAATCTAATTTGATGTTTGACCAAGATGTACAGCATACATTTGTTAAACTCACCTTTACTCTCTTGCTCTGAGTCTAGGACCTCCGGCAGGCGGACCCTGACGGATGAATTGAGGACACCAGTTGAATGTTGCCACTATGTGTGGTCATGTGACTGAGCCACGCTCCTTCATAGCACATGGGATCTCTCTTCCTGCTACCCACTTGCCATTGTCCCCCTGTTGCCCTGTTTTCAGCATGAGAGGATCTGTCAAACGCTTGACCTCTGTGCCCTCATACTGGCGCAGCGGCTGTGCGGTGTGAGCCCCCCCCCCCCCCCCCCCCCTCCGGCAGTATCTGCACGGCATGGCCTCTCTGGACCTGCCATACCGCTGTCCTCGCTGCGGGGAGCACAAGCGCTTCCGAAGCCTATCGTCCTTACGTGCCCACCTGGAATACAACCACACATACGAGACCCTCTACGTCCTCTCCAAGTCCAACAGTGTTTGTGACGCTGCTGCTCTGCTGCCTCTAGTGGCCCAGGGAGCTCTCCTCGCTCCTGTGAACAGCAACGACCCCTTTGAGCCGCTGCGGCCCTCAGCTCTAAAGGAGCGCCGCTTCCCTTGTCGGGAGCTTCCTTGTGCGGACGACTTGAGTTTGACCCCAGCTAACTCCAACACTGCAGCCCGGTATATACCCAATGTGGAGTTTCCCCATGGGGAGATTTTTATGAAGAAAGCCATGACATCTGCAGACCCTGGTCCCCATGGAAACCACAACACAGCTGTAGCGGTGGCAGCTAACGTAGCAGCTAGTGCGGTGGAGGCAGCGTATGAGGAGGGCTTAGCCAGGCTAAAAGCCCGGGCGTTTGAGCGGCTGGAGCTGGATGAAAGGCTGGAGAAGCTTTCTGAAGAGGTCAGTATGATCATCAAGGTTTTTAGAATGAACTTGGTTAGCCAAGTGTGGCTGATATAGTTACAGACAATCTGTGAACTAGAGATTACAATCTAAACAGACAAAGAAAACTTAAAATAAAAGTATAAGTTTATACCACCCCGTGTTGTGTTGAATTACAACATTTCTGACTTTAGCACCCCCTAGTGGTTCTACCAAACAAAATGACGTGAAGATGTTCTCTGACAAAAATGTTTTTAAAAGAATGTGGTAACTACTTAGCTATTGATCTAATTTGTATAACTAGTTATGCTTCATACAATGTTGGTACTTTAACGGGACAATCGGCTGCTCAAGTTCCTCTTTCTGATGCAGGTGGAGCAGAAAATAGCGGTCCGCGTTGGTCGTCTTCAGTCAGAGCTGGAGAGGAAAAGCTCTGAGCTGGAGCGGGCCAAACTGGAGAGCGACCATCTGAGCCAGGAGAAGCAGGACCTGGAGGACAAGGCCTCCGAACTCTCCCGGCAGGTGGACGTCTCTGTGGAAATGCTGGCTAACCTCAAACAGGACCTGGTGAACAAGGAGCAGGAACTCAATCACAAACAGCAGTAAGTGATTTTTCTGTTCTTCAGACTCAGTTTAGTCTTACAGCTGTAGCTGGCTTGTTGGTGGTTTTCTTAAAACGGCTAATATTTGTTCATGAATTCACATTTTAAAGAATTAGTCCACTGCTTGGAATGAGTGAAATGTGAACATTTGCTGGTTTTCATTACCTGTGATGCAACAACTTTGTTTTTTCGCTGTTGGTTAGGAGGTAAAGATGTCACCTAAATTGTCGATTGGAATATCAATCCCTATTTCAGCCCTAATTTTCATTGTGATTTCAGTTTGTTGGTGGATCAATCTCTCTTGCTTTTACAAAGGTTATAGTTTACATGGCTTATGGTGGGGTCATTATCATTAACTATCATTATCATTAACATTTATTCAAGGGGCATCCCTTTCACAACAATGTTCTAAATTCAGATTTACAATGTTCTAAATTAACACACAGAGCATCAGTGTACACCACAAATGATAACAACAACAGTGAGGAAAAAGTATAATAAAACAAATAACTAGCATACATGTCGGTTAAGGAATGATATACAACAGTACGATTATGAAAAAAGTAACAAAACCATATAATAACTGCTCTGCGAAGAAGAAAATATCAACAGCAATCAAAAATAACATGTAGAAATAGATCGATAGATCGAAGAACATTTAAAAATATGTTGTTCCAGCAGCAGTGTCAAGCATTACAAAAGTTACAAATTATTAAAAGATATATTATACAAATTTAAATCAACATTAGCGAAAAGTATATATAGTAAACAATTAAAACTAGCAGCAAGTATTTACAAATTCAGTCTAGGCTACAGGAATATATAGAACTATACTATAGGCACATATAATGGTATTGGATTGAATATACATTATAAATGTGCAAAACAGCTGTTCTGGGTGATGGAAGAGGAGACACAATATCAAATACAACAAAAAAATACAACAAACATTTTTTCTAGCATATTATTAAATATATGTACCGACACATTCTCATCTAATTCAAACACCTTCTGTAATCTGTTCCATTTATGTGGTGTGAAAAACAAATAGCCAAGTTACCGAGCTCAGTGTTATATTGAAGAGTTTAAGGAGTATAAATTGTAGCAGCAGAAATAAACCAACATGAAAAAACTTGAATACCAACTTCCCCACCCTTGACCTCATTACAGATGGCTCCTAACTATTCCTCGCTCTTCTTTTTATAAAACATATTGTCATGCATACAAACCCTCGCTCACATTCCCCTCCTCTCCTTCACCTCTTCCTATCTGTTGATGGTGTAATGCTCAGTAGCATCCACCCACCAGATGTGGTCAGCATCTGTCCCGCTGCTGTCTCCGTGCACCAGTGCCCCGCAGAGCTGGTTATCTGCTCATGCTGAATGCCCCCCCCCCCCCCCCCCCTCCTCAATAAAGCTGCCATGCTGCTTCATGAACTAGTTAAAAGTATGGCTGCTTTAAATAGAAGGAGCTCTTGGATATAAATCACAGTGTGGTGATGCGAGTTATCGCTGGCTCTGAATCTGATGAATATTTGGAGCTCTCCAGCAGAATGCCACTTGAAGCGAGTGAGACCGGAGTTTCAGAGCTTTTATTGAAATGAATACTGGAGTAATTTACTGTGTGGTCCCAACATTGGTGCTGTATTCAGTTTGACAGGCTAGAAGCAAACATTCATTATGTTTATGTTGAAATGAAAGGCAATACATTAAAATATTGCATCCTATTATATTTTACAAATTGGTTTGCCTTCTTCCTCTCTCACTAATGAGGTTTTTATAGATGCTTTGAATTCCCATTAAAATATTCTACCAATTTCAAAAGTCAAACAGTTTCTTATTCATTATTAATGATAATGTTTACAAAAGGGAATTTCGAGGCACAATAACAATGTAATGGGAAAAGAAGGCTTTAAATCATGTCGTTTTTGACTACTTGTGTAGATTGAGGTGTAGTACTTAAATATCCTCAAACACAATAGCTTTGCTTGTTCGCGTCTATTTCCTTTGTTAAAGTGATCAACAAGTGTCATCCAAGGCTCATATGAGAGTCATCTGGTATCTGTGCTGTGTCTTTATCTGAAAGGACAGCCAGCCTCGTCTTTCTATCTTCCTCTGGGGTTTTATCTCTTCTACACGCTTTCTTTATCAGGCCTGAATGTCAACAGTAGGTGTGGGACAGAAAAGCGTCTAATCTCATCAAAAACACACAACTGCACATGGCACTGCAGCGTATGTATGTGTGTGATTCTTTAAGGCATCAAAGGTAATGTACAAAGGTCTTTGATATGTACATTACCTTTGGATATTAATAGTGAGGCATTATAATATGTGTCATGTATGGCTGTAATTACCAATCATTTTCATCATCCGTTAATCTATTGATTCATTTCAATTACAAGTTCATCTTTAAAATATCAGAGGATATAAAGTCAATCATTTTCCAGTTCCCAAATTAAAATGTTAATTTATTTGTCACAAGTCCACTGATTTGGCTTTCCTGGAAGTTGTAGCCACATATTGATAAAACTGTTGTCATGCATGACTTGATTGTTAGCATGTGACCTTAGCATGGAGCTTCAGCCATGTGAAAAATGCTGGTACAGTATACAGAGGAAGATGTATCCCATGTCTCTGTTCAAAAATGTCTTGGCGGTCGATGTGATGGGTTCATAGAAAGTTGAAGCTGTCAGTTTCCAGTGTTCATTCGATCTGTCTTCCAGAATCTTTGCGGCTTTACCGTTGTAGTGATTCTCACGTTAAAGGCCGTCCAGCGGCTCTAAAGCATCCACATTTTATTTCCCAGTCGCAAAAATCTTTTATCAGGAAATAATGTGTTGTTTGTTGATAAGCTTATAGGTTAATCAACTAATTGTTTTAGCACGAGCGTCGTCCATTAAGTTTCACTGCTCTTGAGATAGCGTGCGTTTAGTGATGCTGCAGTAGTTGACAATAAATATGAACACATGTAGTCGTTCCTCTTGGATCCTGCAGGTTAGAGCTAACTCAAAGTGTCTCTTTGTTGTCTGTCAATGTTACAAAATCCTTCTATTTTTCCCATCCCTGCAGAGACAGCTGAACTTGTAACAGAAGTTGCACTGGCTGATCTTGTGATGGTAAGATACAAAACAGTGTTTCATCCGGTCAAAAGAGCAGAAGACAAGTGTGCTTTTCTTTAATTAAGTCCCGCCCCTCGGTTGTAAAGGGTAGCTATGGTCGTGCATCCCAAACGTGGCACCGTCAGACTGGGAAGGGCATACCCTGCCCCGGCTCAGTGACTGCCTCCTAGTCATGCCTGCAGCCCAGTCTCTCTCTCACACACACACACACACACACACACACACACACACACACACACACACACACACACACACACACACACACACCACACACACACACACACACACACACACACACACACACACACACACACACACACACACACACACACACACACAACACACACACACACACACACAGTACACACACACATTACAAACTCAGAGGAGAGGCTGGCAGTCAAACAGTAAGCTCTTTCAGACTCTTAAACACAGAGTAGGTCTGAGATGGAAAAAGAGCATCAGAGCCGGTGAATGTTCAGCAGGGTTGATGACTGAGCAGAAGTTAACAGACACAGAGCAGCTGATTGGATAAACATGGTTGCCTAACAACATACATACACTCAGCTGATTCTTTGAACAACCTTTGATAATGTCGAGTGACTTCGCACAAAGTCGCAGAAACTTCTTCAAGGAGAAATGTACGCCTCATGTTGCACATCAGTGTTGTCAAATGCTAAACATGCCAGTCACCTCTCTATGTGTTGCTATGCAACCAGAGAAAGCTCCCACAAGCTGAACATACAACACAACCCTGATAATTTATTCTGCACTTGCTGTAAATAAGTATGAAGAGCATACAAGACGCCTCAGATGCCGATTTTCTTCATTATAATGTCAGGCTGCAGTTTAGTTTGAACACAACACAAACAACAACACACAAAAACGCACACCATGCTCGCTCTGTAACAGTCACTGGAAACACTTAATGAGCACGCTGAATGACGGTTATCTCCATCATTCAGCGTGCTGCACACTCACAAAGTATGAAAACAGCCTCATATTGTGTCTGTCTCAGAAACATGTCGAATACTGTCTTAATCTTTCCAGCAATTTACATTTGCTTGATGACACAGCAGGGTTTGTTGTTGACTTTCAATGAAAGTATTTTAATCTCTAGCATGCCTATTGTGTGGTATCATTGTTCCAGTATCATTTTAAAGAATATCTCTGATTAACTTTGGTCTTTATCTTCAGTTTGTGATCTGTTTCATACATGGAAGTGATGGCGGGTTCCCGCTGAAAAACAAATAATAATACTGTTTGCTCCAGTAGCAGTCAGATAATCACTACTTCAGGGTTCCTACGGTCATTAAAAACCTGGAAAAGTCATGGAAATTCAAAATGCTAATTCTAGGCCCTGGAAAACAATATTTTTCCCTAAGTTTTGGAAAAGTCATGGAAATGTAACCAAAGTTGCATCAAATATAATTTATATTTTATCTAATTGCCGAAATAGTAATACTATAATGATAATAAATACTGTATCGTATAGTAATTAAACGTAAAATGGCATTTAACTGACGAGGTATTTCGCTGGTGAGAGAGTTTTACAATCACGCCCTCTAGTCTACAGTGGCTAGTCTGTAGGAGCTAGTTAGCCTACTATTTGATTTGTTTTAGATAGGCACAACATGTTTTATATGCAGACCTTATTTTCCAGCTTACCATGTTAAAATAAAAATGTTTCATTGGTACCGCTGAGAAAGAGTAATTTTTTTGGTCATGGAAAATGAGGTAAAGGTCATGGAGAAGTCATTGAAAATCATTGGTGAAAAAAGTGTATGAACCCTGCTACTTTTATTTTAATACCTAATTGTTTGTCTTCTTGTGGGAAAAGCTTGTATGAGTTGTCCATGGATTTTATAGTCATATTAAGACC